CCCCCCCCCCCCCCTCCCCGTCTCTCCCTCACACTCCAGGGCAAGAATGAGGAAGCCGCGCCGCTGTTGGAACGCTCTCTTGCCATCACCGAGCAAGCTCTAGGACCTCACCACCCTGACGTGGCCGTAGTGCTCAACAACTGGGGGGGAGTGTTGGAGAACCAGGTGAGAGCGTCTATTGCCGTATACGAAACGGGCGGGACTCTCCTTTGTGTTGTTTTACTGGCCCAAGCATCGTCTTAGAGGAAGTAGGGTTTTTTGGCACGCATCTGGCTGACGTTTCATCGCCTGAAGGAGGCACTCCTAGTGATTTCCCTTTTGAATGTTTGAAACTCGCATATTGAAACGTGCAGGGATCTTATCAGGGCCGTCACGTGATTGAGGTGTTGAAGTGTTTCGTACAACCATTTTTGATCGACTTCCTTGGTGGTTCGATCTAGATCTGACCTCGGCTGCAATACGCCTCTGCCGCCCTTTTTCGCTGCACACTAGGGCAAGCCTGAGGAGGCCGAGGCGTTGTTTGAGCGTTCTCTTCTCATCCGCGAGAAGGCTCTTGGACCTGATCACCCTGACGTGGCTACGTCGCTCAACAACCTGGCATGCTTGTTAGAGAGCCAGGTAAGAGCGGTCAAAGTTGTCCACGAATCGGGAGATGTTCATGCCTCTCCCGGTGGTGAGATGATTTGGCTTCCCCAAGCAATACAAACACCTGAATGTGGTGGTTTAGCACGCGTCTCGCGTCGTATCATCGCCTGAAGGAAGCACTTCGAGGCGGGTTCTTTTTTTATTGTTTTAAACTCGCAGACAGGCATGTCCAGGAGCCTCAGCGCCGTCATGTGATTGCGTTACTTGCAAAGTTCTAGCTGGGCCGCTCCCTCAAAAGCCCCTGCTGCTTGCTACACGTTCAGTAGAGGTCCCTGTTGAGTGCCGGGGTGTGCACCGAGATTTCACCGGCGCTAAACCGGACCGGCACTATTCAGAATATTGAAAATGGCTTTGAAATTCAGTGTGTGTGCCCGCCGAAAACACCGGCAATAGACCAGCGACCGATACTATATTCAACCGGCACCAAACAGCGACCTCTACTGTGTCAAGTACGAAAAGGCGTATCCGCTGTACCTTCGAGCCTTTCAGGATCAGGAAGAAGACTCTTGACCCCGACTTGCAGAAGGTTCGGCAACCTCGTCGACCATGTGCTTAACCGCCGTGGGATCTACCGTCCTGTTCCATGTCACATTCCCGTCTCTCCCGCACATCTCAGGACAAACACGAGGAGGCTGGATCGTTGCACGAGCGTTCCCTTGCCATCCGCGAGAAGGTTCTTGGACCTGATCACCCCGACGTAGCCGAATCGCTCAACAACCTGGCATGCTTGTTCGAGAGCCAGGTGAGGGCGGACAAGCCCGTTCACGAAACCGAGCGGTATGTATGACCCTCATTCTGGGTGGGTGGTTTGCCGGCCCAAGCCTGACACCAGGCACTTGGAGTGATTTCGCTCCTGGTTGTTTAAAACTTGTGAAAAAATGAGTAGAAATCTGATCAGAACGGGTATTTGGTTGAATTGGTACAAATGTTTTTCATCGACCACTGCCTCACGTCAGCCGGGCGTGGTTTCTGTCATCGTTCCCCCCCGCTGTTCGAGCTGTGCTGATTTGACCTCGACTGAAATACGCTCCTCTTGTATGTTCGCCTCTTCCGCTCTGCCCCACTACATTTTAGGGCAAGTACGCCGAGGCTGAGCCTCTCTATGCACGGTGTCAGGCGCTAGAAGAGAAGGTTCTAGGTCCTGAGCACCCAAGCCTGGCCACGACACTCCATAACATGGCGGGCTTGTTGCAGAGACTGGTGAGAGTGGTCAAAACCGGTCACGAAATGGGAGAGTGGCGGTTTTGCTGAGGACATAGGTGCCTTTTCGTGTACGTACGTATGTATTTTTGGTGGGGTGTTTGGGGGACCGCTGGCACATATTATCCCGCTGTATGGTCTGCCATACACGAGGCAGGTACGACAACGCCGACTTATTTGGCCTGAGAGCTTTGAGATTTGGTCGAAGATGGTGGACCCTGCGTTTGCAGAAGTTCCACCAATCCTGTTGAGCAATCGTTCCTCCGCTGTACATCTGCAATCCTCAACCTAACCTTGACCAATATTCCTCTCTTCCCCCTCACATTTCAGGACAAACATGAGGAGGCCGTGTCGTTGTACGAACGTTCCCTTGCCATCGTGGAGAAAGCCTTTGGTCCTGATCACCTAAACGTAGCCACATCGCTCAACAACCTGGCGGGCTTGTTGAATAGCCAGGTGAGAGTGGTCAACACCGTTGATGGAGCGGGAGGCATGCGTGATTCACATTTGTGTGTTGTGGTTGCCGCATCAGGCAAAATTAGTTTTTTTAGGCGGGGCTTCAGATATCTGGCTTGAGTATCACCGCCTGATGGAGGCACTTTTCATGTGTTACCTCTTGATCGTCTGAACCTTGTAAACCGAAATGCGGAGAAACACTATCAGGGCGGCAATTTGGTTGAATTGATCCAGTCATTTTTAATCGAGCGCCTCCCATCAACCGGTAGCTGAAAGCATGTTCCCCATCACTTTGATCATCACCCGACCTCTACTGCAATACGTCTCTGCTGCGCTGTCCCACTGCACTGAAGGGCAAGTACGCTGAGGCTGAGTCGCTCTATGCGCGGTGTCAGGCGATAGAAGCAAAGGTTCTAGGCCCTGAACACCGACGCCTGGCCACAACGCTTTACAACTGGGCGGCGCTGTTACACAAGCAGGTACATACGAGCGATAAGCTTTCCCGCGAAACTCGTTGCCAGGCAATGCGAATGCGCAGTGCTTTAGCGGCGGGCGAATCCGTTGAGAAAATTGAAATAAGATTTTTTGGACAAAATGCGAGTGCGTGTTTTACTTCGATTGTTCGTAACTCCACACCAAGATTTTTTTGTCTTCTTCGGTGGTTTTGGTCTTGGATGTGTGATATCACCGCCCAGACACGTGTTTGAGCTTCCTGGAGCCGCCATTTTTGGTTGGTGGGTTCGTTGAAATGCTCGGCTCAAGCGTTCTTTATTGACCACTGCCTTACGATAACCTGGCGAGGTAGCTTATCACATGCTCCCGAGCGCAGTTCGATCTAGAGTCAAGCTCGCCTGAAGTACCCCCTGTGCCACGCTGTCCCTCTGAAATGAAGGGAAAATACGCTGAAGCTGAGTCGGTCTATACGCGGTGTCAGGAGATAGAAGAGAAGGCTCTGGGCCCTGAGCACCCAAGCCTGGCCACAACACTCAATAGCAGGGCGAAGTTGTTGACGACGCAGGTGAGAGCATTGAGTGGTACATATCATAGACATACAAGTGCTTGAAGACCGGTTGAGTATTTACTCCTTCCGAAACCTTTTGTACTAGCCGTGAGTACACCCCTGTCGGGTTTCCTGCTTGAATCCCAGAGGATGGTGTCGAGGCTGACCTTTTCTGCCTTTTGAGCCGCTGGCATTTGGATAGATTACGCTCGATCCTGAACGCCCGAAGGTGCCCTTGGGATTCAAGAATATGGCATGGTGGTGGAGCGGTTGTTCCTCTGTTTTTGCTCTCTTGATCGCCCTCCTGCTTCGTTTTCTTCGCCACCTTCCAGGGCAAGTATGAGGACGTCGGGCCGTTGTACGAACGTTCCCTTACCATCCGCGAGTTACTCTTGGCCCTGATCACCCTGACGTGGCCTCACCTGGCGCGGAAGCTGATAGCATATTCCCCAGCATCCGATCTTGACCCGACATCAACTGAATAATTTACACCTCTGCCGCGCTGCCCCATGGCACTTCAGGGCAACTATACTGAGGCTGAGGCCCTCTATGCACAGTGTCAGGCGATACAAGAGAAGATTCTGGGTCCTGAGCACCCAAGCCTGGCCACAACGCTCGACAAATTGGCAGTAGCGTTGTACAAGCAGGTAAGATCGGTCACAAATTCCCCTGTAGTAGTATCACTCCTGTAGAATTGCGCATGTTCGGGTTTCTTAGCAGCGTGCTGTCTATCATCCCGCTGTTTCCTACCACACACAACAGAAACGAAGATGTCGATCCTATGCATATTTGCGAAGACGGCAGAAGTAGAAGATGCTGGCCCGCCCCGGTTGACAACAGCCCTAGCGACCCTGTTCAGCACTGTTCATCGGCAGTAGGTAGGATGTACGATTCTCTACCCAAAACATTTGTCCTGTGATTCCGTGACATTTCAGGGCAAGTTTGGGCAGGCCAGGCCGTTGTTTGAACGTTCCCTTGCCATCGTGGAAAAAGTTCGAGGATCTGATCACCCTGACGTGTGGTCATTGCTCGGCAATTGGGCGTGCTTGTTGAAGAGCCAGGTGAGAGCGGTCCAAACCGTTCACGAGACATGAAGGACCCAGGGTTACACGTATGTTATTTGGTGTGGTTGGCTGCCCCAAGCAGAATACGCTTGGATTTTTGGGTGTCATGCTGGTATCTGGCTTACGCATCACCTCTAGAGGTGCTTTGAGCGACCTCTTGATTATTTGAAACTCGTAAACCGAAATGTGGCGGGATCGTCTCGGGGGCACCGGATGGGTAAAGTTGCTTCAAGCGATTACGATCGACCACTGCCTCACGGCAATTGGGCTGGTAGCTGATATGCTGTTCCCATGCAATTCGATCTAGATCTAACCTCGACTGAAGTGCGTCTCTGCCGCGCTGCCCCACTGCACTTAGGGCCAATTCGCTGAGGCTGAGCCGCTATATGCGCGGTGTCAGGCGATAGAAGAGAAGGTTCGAGGTCCTGAGCACCCAAGCCTGGCTACGACCCTCAACAACCGGGCGAGCGTGTTGTTTAGCCAGGTACATGTTCGAATTTTCCGAGAAATCTCTTGACGTGCTCGGCGGATTTGCTGAGAATACAGACGAGGAAATATCATATTTTTTCTGACCTGATGTTTGGCCGTGTTTGATGTCGTGTATTCCTCCGCAGTAGCCCGGACCCCGCCTCACTCGCCATGCGCTTTTCCCCATATTCCAGGGCAAGAGTAAGGAAGCCGCGCCGCTGGTGGAACGCTCGCTTGCCATCCGCAAGAAAGCTCTTGGACCTGAACACCCTGACCTAGCCACACCGCTCAAAGACCTTGCGGTCTTGTTGGATAGCCAGGTGAGAGCGTTTAGTACCGTTCACGGAACGGGAGGAATGCACGTCTCAAACCCCAAGCATCGGTTTTGTGGACGTGGAGGTTTTGGTGGTGTCTGGCTTACATTTCATCGCCTGAAAGACGCACTCACTTGTAGTGATTCCCCTCTTGGCTCGTTGAAACGCGTTAATCGAAACGTGCAAGGGATCTTGTCAGGGCCACCATTTGGTTGAGCTGGCGCAATTGTTTTCGTCGACCACTGGCTTACGTTGACCTGGCGTGATAGCTGGTAGCATGTTCCCCATCAGGTCGATCTACTTTTTCCCTCGACTGAGGTGCAAGCCTCTTCCCCGCTGCCCCGCTGCATATTAGGGCAATGACGCTGAGGCTGAGCTGCTCTATGCGCGGTGTCAGGCGATAGAAGAGAAGGTTCTAGGCCCTGAGCACTCAAGCCTGGCCACAACGCTCAACAACCGGGCGAATTTGCTACACAAGCAGGTGAGATAATGTTTTCAGGGTAAATAATGTCTAGACTATGTTACTTGCACTGTGTTTCGTGGGGTTCTTGTGGTGGACCGCTGGGATAACGATTCCGCTGCCTTGGCCTGCGAAAGGCAAGGCGGGCACGATAACCCCCACTCGTTTGGCCTGAGAGCGTTTGAGATTTGGTCGAGAAGCTGGGCCCTGACCACCTCCGTTTGCAAAAACTCCGGCGATCCTGTTCATCATGTGTTCCTCCGCAGTTGTTAATGTTTTGTTGCTGTTGTTGTTGTTGTTGTTGTTGTTGTTGTTGTTGTTGTTGTTGTTGTTGTTGTTGTTGTTGTTGATGTCGCAGCAATAATCCGGTCACCATAACGTACCTTCGAATGTCCGAATCTTTTTCCGTGGTCACGGGCTACCCATCAGGGTACTCAAAAAAATGCAAATATATATAAGCGAAATAGTTATCAAACATACACTCACGTTTGTGTCGCAGCTTCACCTGGTGCATAATCACTTGCATATGGACTGGGCAAAGCATCCACGGCCACATCTGTACTTGCCCAGGTTTCCGTCGGCCATTCCCCCC